CACTGTCTACTCAGTCACCTGCTCCGTCTCCAGTCCTCGCTGCCCCAGCGGGACACGGCTCGCCCCTGCCCTCTCGTGGCCGTCTTCAGGAACTGCTAGCGGCGGCTGTTGGCGGATTGGGGCAGGGCCCCTCACAGGGGTGGGACGCCGGCCGCAAGGAGAACCAGGGCGGTGCCCCTGGGCCAGACTTGGAGGCCCCTTTGCCAGGACACCCTCCTGGCTGGTGGCTGCCCAGGGCCCCAGGAGCTGAGTCAGTGCCCAGGCTCTTCTCAGAGACGGTGGGTGCTGGGTGGGAACCAGGGCCGGGTGGGCTCGGCCAGCTCTCCTGGACTCAGGCCTGTGTTCAAAGTCCCTCCCAGCAACATCCCCCTGGAGGGTCCCCTGCACCCCCTGGTAACCACGTGCAGGGCTGGGCCCAGCAGGCTTCCCACCCACCTTCTCTGTGGTGGCACCGATGGAGCCCTGCCACCCCGCTGGGGGATTCCTGCCCTTCTTGGTTTGGCTCTTGTTCGCCCTGCCGGCCTGGGTCCCCTCTGTCCTCTGAGACTGTGTTGCAGGCAGCACTTCTGTCTCCAGCAGCGAGAGACCTGCGTTCCCAGGAGCGTATCCTGGCCTCCAGCTCGATCATTACTGTTTTCCGTGAGCAGCAGGTCTGGCTCATGGCGGCAATGAGTAAACACTAGACAAACTGAATTCGGACGTGGTCGGGACGATCGCCTGGGGAAACTGAGGACGTGTGTACCAACTGTGTGAAGAGTAAATGCCTGGGGTGACAGGTGCTGGGAGGGCTCCCCACAAACTGCCAGCCCCCGGGGACAACTCATCTGTGTGTCCTGGGTCCTGTGTCCAACTCATCTCTGCTCAGCCAAGGTTTCTGAAGGAGTGAAACGAGTGAGTGAAGGTTGGTCACCTGGTCGGGGTCGGGCCCCAGTGGCAGCACTGACATTTGTCACCCCACAGAGAGGGTGTGCACGGAGGCCCTGGGCAGCTTCGCTCCTACGGGTGCCCACAGGCCGGCCCGAGTGTCGTCAGTGGCTCTGCAACCGCGCAGAGGCCAGATAGAGCGGAGGCCGGACAGGGGAGGTTTGGAACAGACGCTGCACGGCTGACAAGGCCCCAGCTGCCACTGCTGCTGCTGGTCTGGGGAACACACTTTGAGAAACTCTGCTCAAGGCCAGTGTCTCCGAAGAGAAATACAATAGCAGCCACACACACAATTTAACGTTTTCTAGAAACCACCTCTTTAACAAGTGTAAAGAAACAGGCGAGATCAAGTCAATATATTTTACTTAACCCAATACATCCAAAGTACTATTTCAAGGTGGGGGTCAGTATAAAAACATTAAAGTATTTAACATTGAAGACCCATAGCAGGGAGGCATGGAACAGACTGACACACCTCGATGTGGGGTTGGGGGGGCGAGAAGAGATAAACCAAAGAACTTATACACTTACATGCACAGCCCATGGACACGGGCCATAGGGTGCTGAAGACCTGGGAGAGGGGAGGGGCTGGAGGAGGGGGAAAAAGAGGGTGGAATGTGAGATATCTGTAATACTATCAACAATAAAAATATATTTTAAAAAGTATTTCACATTGTTTTTTTCCTCCTAACTCTCGGAGACCCGGTGTGTATTTTACAGCAAACTCCACGGTCCCGCGTGGCTAGTGGCGCTGAGCTGCAAAGCGCAGGCAAGCAGGTGC